GTGTTTGGAGATTAAATCTCTTTTCCTCCAGACGTAAAGAGTGCCCCCTTGAATATTGATCACACCTGATGTACCGATGTCCTATCTCATTTCTTGAGACACTTATGCCCCGTACACACTATAAGAAAATCAGACGAACGTATTTGTCTGACGAGCAATTGTGCAATTTTCTGACGGTGTGTACATCATTTTCGACAGCTGATTCCGATCTTACGAATGAAAATTAACGATAGTGCAAACATCAAAATTTTTGTCGTTTGGGAACAGAACTAACTATTTTCGTTTAATGTGTACTGTTTTCATACGAGAAGAATTGGATACGAAAGACCGCGCATAATCGAAAGCTGCTTATGACCCGGAAGAACCTAAAGAAAATAAACACCACGGAATATTCGTAGTATTACAGCCATTAATGTCATTAAACAGTTTTCTGCACCCAACCCCCCAAAAACAAACATTACATATGTCACTGCATCACTATGAATGTGTGTGTTTGCATGTTGTTGCAAAAAAGAAGAACCACAAATAAATAAACAAAGATGGCACCGAAAGGCGTGGCAACAGGGTCACACGTACATTACATCATTTCCACAGCTACGCTACGACGTTCGTACGCAACGCCTTTATATCGTACAATATTCTCATGCATAAAAGCACAGCTCTTTCTACCAGCAGCGTACAATCGATGATAACCGAACGATCGTTCATCCGATTTTCTTATAGTGTGTACAGGGCATAATGTGAGATGGGGAAACAGCTCTCATTGTTTGAACACTGTGTGCAGTAAATTATTGTGTGGAGCAAATTAAATGTTTGGGACTGACATTCTGCGGTTTGGCCACAAGATGCCACTGTTTTCCTAACACAGCCTCAGACTGCATAGATATTTCTATATTCATGAAGAGGTGGGGTTTTCACACAGAGTTGAGGGAACAGGAAGAGGAGAGACAGCAGCCATGTTTTGTGGATGGTGAATGCAGGAGCCGTGTGAGCGGAGAATCTGATGGCATCCAGGTGTGAGGGCATCCCTCAGTAAAGAGAGCTGCACCTAAGTGAAGCTGATCATGTCCAAGACCCTGATCCTGTTCAGAGAAAGGAAGATTGCTGCCAGGAATGCTGATGAGAGCAGAGGAACAAAGCAACATACACTGCGATATCGCATGCTTGTTGGAGAGACATTTGTTCTGTTCAGAGTCACCAGCGGATGAAAAGCAGACACGGATCGGTAAGATCGTGCAAGCACCTCATTTTAGTGTTGGCACCTAGAGACTGAGTCCAGGCCTATAGTTAGTTAGTTAGGGTCTCTGTTTGTGTCAGGACACAAATGTTATTACTGATCATTGGAAGGACTCCATAACTTAAAGTGACATTTCACATTGGAGAGCTGATAAAATTCCACAAACTCAAGCCAGACTGGCATTTTGCTCAGAAGGAATACTCAGGCACGTGCTACAGGACCAGTTATGAGATGGGGAATACTGTAGATTTGTGTAAGATTGTAAGCTGTTGTGCTGCACCGCAGGCTAGCCCATACCGTACACCCATACACTAATTCCTGCTCTTGTAGGGTAATAACAGGTAAGGTGTGACAGCTTAGTTGTGCCCCCAGTAGGTAAATTACTACACCTTTTACCTTCTTCCATCAGGAGGCGCCATGCTGTGCAGCACAAGGGTCTCAGCCTTTGGGCTGGATGTATGTAAATTTATTGTATGGTCCCAGCATTTGTGGTTGTGTTTATTTGCCACATCTAAGTTAAATTCTGTTGTGGCAAAAGCTGGTGTTGGGGTTGCTTTCCTAGTTCGTGACTTCACTGTATCCTGGGGAGCCCACCATTGTACACGACTTACAATAAGAAGCCAGGACAGTACAGATACCCTCCAAATGACCCCTTTTTGGAAAGTAGACAGTCCAAGGTATTTAGGAAGAGGCATAGTGAGTTTTTTGAAGTTGTAATTTTTTCCCACAAATCTATTGAAAATTATTACTTTTGTTTTGTTCCACAAAATTGTCATATTAAAAGGTTATTTCTCCCACACAGCATATGCATACTTGCAACTACACACCCCAAAAATACATTCTGCTACACCTCCTGAGTATGGGGATACCACATGTGTGAGACGTTTTCACAGCCTGGCCACATAGAGAGGCCCAACATGCAAGGAGCACCATGGGGTATAACCCCTCCCCCCCGGTCACATCAAGCCCGACTTTGAAATCATGTGATGTCAAAGTCGGGTGAGATGCTGATATCTGGTGCGATTTGCAAGACATCTGACACAGATGTCTATGCAAAAGTAGTACATGTACTACTTTAGAAATCGGTGCAGCTCTGTTCAAGTTGGAACCGCACCAATCTGACCGATCGAATTGCGGACAATACGATTTGCAAGTTGCATGGCCCTGGAGCACCAGGACAATGGAATTACCCACAAAATGACCCCATTTTGAGAAGCAAACATCCCAATGTGTATTCTGTGAGGCATAATGAGTCTTTTGAACATGTAATTTTTTTCCACAAGTTTTCAGAAAATGTGGAAAGAAAATGAAAACTTCTTATTTTACACAATGTTGTCCATTTATAAGATATTTCCAACACATAGCACGTACATACCAAAAATGACACCCCAAAATACATTCTGCTACTCCTCCTGAGTATGGGGATACCACATGTGTGAGACTTTTCTACAGCCTGGCCACATAGAGAGGCCCAACATCCAAGTAGCACTTTTAGGCCTTCTAGGGGCAAAAATTACACATCTAATTTCTTATCATGTTTTTGAAGGCCCTGGTGCACCAGGAGAGTGAAAACATCAACATAGGTTTTGTGAGATATATTGAGTCTTTTGAACATGCCTTTTTTTTTTTGCACAAATTTTAAGAAAATGTGGAAAGAAAATGAAAATGCATTTTTTTTAACACAAAGTTGTCCATTTATAAGATATTTCTCACACATAGCATGTACATAGCAAAAATTACACCCCAATATACATTTTGCTCAGGGGCGGACTGACCATTTGGAAACTCGGGCACTGCCCGAGGGCCTGGGGTCAGTAGGGGGCCCCATTAGATGCCCCTGATACCTTTTTCATAGGCTTTTTTGAGTTTGGGCAAGGACACAGGGGCCCCATGATCCCCTATTGCCCGGGGGCCCCATGAGTTGTCAGTCCACCCCTGATTCTACTACCTCTCCTGATTATGGCCATACCACATGTGTGAGTCTTTTCCACAGCCTGGCCACATAGAGAGACCCAACATCCAAGAAGCACCTTTAGGCATTCTAGGGGCAAAAATTATACATCTAATTTCCTGACAACCGATCACGTTTTTGAAGCCCTGGAGCAACTGGAAAGTGGAAACACCCACAAAATGACCCCATTTTGGAAAGAAAACACCACAGCGTATTTTCTAAGAGGCATAATGAGTCTTTTGAACGTTACATTTTTTTTCACAAGTTTTCGGAAAATGTAGAAAATGAAAATGTATTTTTTTAACACAAAGTTGTCAATCTATAAAATATTTCTAAAAAAACAGCATGGACATACCAAGAATTACATCCCAAAATATATTCTGCTACTCCTCCTGATTATAGGGATACCACATGCTTAAGACCTTTTCAATGCCTGTATAGATTATGTGCCCAACATTGCAACAAGTGTAACACAAAAATCAACAAACACTATACAGAAAACAATGTAAACAAAAGATTATCTGTGGTATGAGGAGAGCATTGGTCCAGGTCAGTGCAGGCAGCAGCCTGACATCCAGGCAGCAGGCAGGAACAAGGTCAGTAAAAAGTCCTGGGTCAGTATAGGCAGCAAGCAGATATATGGTCAGCACAGCCAAAGTATGGTTAAGGCAGCAGGCAGGGGTATGGTCCATAAAATGTCCTGGACCATTACAGGCAGCAGGCAACAATATGGTCAGCACAGCCAAAGTATTTGTCCAGGCAGCAGGCAGGAACATGGTCCATAAAATGTCCTGGGTCATTATAGGCAGTAGGCAGAGATATGGTCAGCACAGCCAAGCTATTTGTCCATGCAGCAGGCAGGAGTATGGTACATAAAATGTCCTAGGTTATTACAGGCAGCAGGCAGGAGTTTGGTACATAAAATGTCCTAGGTTATTACAGGCAGCAGGCAGGAGTATGGTACATAAAATGTCCTAGGTTATTACAGGCAGCAAGCAGGAGTATGGTACATAAAATGTCCTAGGTTATTACAGGCAGCAAGCAGGAACATGGCCCATAAAAGGTCCTGGGTCAGTACAGGCAGTAGGTAGAGCTATGGTCAGCACAGCCAAAACATTGGTCCTGGCAGCAGGCAGGAACATCAGGCTTAGGGCCTCGGTCAGGTAGGACCAGGGCACAGGGTTCGAGGCTTTGTTCCACCCAATCTCTTCAAAGCCTCCGGACAAACAGACCCTGTTCTGTGAATTACAAAGGCCAGAGAAAACCAAAAAATGTTTTTCTCTACTCAGAACTCTACTCTGAAGTCCCTCACATATTTGAGACCCGTGTTATCTTGAATCACACTACTACAGTAGCAAGACAAAAGATCAATCCAAGCGGCAGACAAAAAACATGGTCGATTAACAGGTCGAGGTCAGTCCAGGAAGAAGGCATAAACGTGGTTAATAATCCAGACAGCAGGCAGAAGCAAAGCCGATAAACAGGCTAGAGTCAGTTCAGGTGGAAGGTAGAAACATGGTGGATAAACAATGCAAACAGCAGGCAAAGGCATAGTCGATAAACAGGTCGGGGTCAGTTAACTACCTGCCAACTGCAGATAGCCGAATGACGGCTTCACTGAGGCCGGCCAGTTCTGAGTGGACGTCATATGACGTCCTCCCAGAACGCACTCTCCTGGGGCGCGCACCCGGCGATCTCCGTGATCGCTGTATCCTACGGACACAGCTGATCACGTCATGTGGTAAAAGGCCAATCACAGCGGCCTTTTACCACGTGATCAGCGGTGTCCAATGACACGCTGATCAGAGGGAAATGCAAGTGCCGGTTCTCGGCTGCACTTTCCTCACGCTGTCAGATCGTGAGGAAAGTACTGCCGAGAACCGGCAGTTGTCAGAGCGGGGATCGGCACCAACCGATCATCAGGGCACTGATGATCAGTGCCCTGATGATCGGTGCCCAGCAGTGCCACCCGCAAGTTCCGCCCGCCTGTGCCCAGCAGTGCGCCCACTAGCTCCGCCCACCTGTGCCCAGCAGTGCACCCACCTGTGCCACTCTGCAGTGTCACACACCTGTGCCCAGAAGTGCCACCTACCTGTGCCCAGCAGTGCCACCCACCTGTGCCCACCCACCTGTGCCCACCAGTGCCACCCACCAGTGCTGCCCACCAGTGCCACCCACCAGTGCAGCCCAGAATTGCTGCCAGTCAGTGCCACCAGTCAGTGCCCAGGGGTTGTGCCAGTCAGTGCCACCAGTCAGTGCCCAGCAGTGATGCCAGTCAGTGCCGTCTATCAGTACCCATCATCAGTGTCACCTATCAGTGCCGCCTATCAGTGCTGCATTAGTGCTGCCTATCCGTGACACCTCATTAGTGCTGTCTATCAGTGCCGCCTATCCGTGCCACCTCATTAGTACTGCCTATCAGTGCCCTTTAGTGCTGCCTATCAGTGCCGCCTATCAGTGCTGCCTCATCAATGCCCATCAGTGAAGGAGAAAAAATACCTGTTTGAAAAATTTTATAATAGAAACAAAGAAACTTTTTTTTTTTTTTTTCAAATTTTTTGCAATTTTTTTATTTATAGCGCAAAAAGTAAAGCGCCCAGTGGCGATTAAATACCACCAAAAGAAAGCTCTATTTGTGAGAAAAAAATTATCAAAATTTCATATGGGTACAATGTTGCATGACCGCGCAATTGTCAATCAAAGTGCGGCAGCGCTGAAAGCTGAAAATTGGCCTGGTAAATAAGGGGGTATAAGTGCCTGGTAGGCAAGTGGTTAAGGTAGAAGGCAGTGGCATGGTTGGTTGAGGCAGCAATGATCAGCGAGATAATGAAACAGGGAAATGGCAGGCAGTTTGAAATATGGGCTAATATTTTAGTGACGTTCGAAACAGTCACTGATGCACAGATCTGGTTGGGAGGGACAATGGGGACAATGAAAACTCGTGTCTCTTCTAACTCCTCTGCTGCATACCCGACATCTTTTTTGGCGTCTTCGACCTGCTTCTGTTGGAGGAATTCTCTCAGGGAAATGGCGCTCATGAAGTCTGCTCACAGAAGCGAAACGAATGCTTACTGGGGGGATCCTTGCAGATAGATAAGGGACGTGTCAACTTCTATAAATTTGAGGAAGGCAGTGGGTCTTTCTGTGGATTTGGTGTAGGTGACATACGCATTATAAATGAATAAAACAGATTGCAACTTTTTTTTATACCAGAAACAGGACCTTCTTGTTGCTAAATAGGGCTGCAACATCTGATAGTTGAAATCCACCCCCCCCCCCCCCCCCATGTAGAGAATAATTATAATCTTGGATGGCAGCAGGCTTTTGAATCGGACGATATCTTCCAGTAATTTCCACTGAGGTATCATTGTGGATGGTGGACAGGATGTAAACATCTCTCTTATCCTTCCATTTCAGGGCCAGCACTTCATCATTTCTTAGGCTTGCTGATTCCCCCCTTGTAGCCTGGTATTCACTAGAGATTTTGGGAAGCCCTTCCTGTTTTTTAAGGAGGTACTGCAGGCCAAGTTTTTCTCACGGTACAGGTGTCGGAAACGGGGCAGACTGGTATAGAAATTGTCCATATAAATGTGATAGCCTTTTTGGAAAAGTGTATAAGCCAGGCCCCAGACTATTTTTCCACTTGTTTCAATGTAGGTTGGGCACTCGGGCTGGAGCTGGGAATCTTTGCCTTCATATACGCGGAACGCATACAAATATCCCATGGCTCTTTCACACAACTTGTAGAGCTTTACCCCATATCTGACCCTTTTACTGGGAATATATTGCTTAATTCCTAGCCAGCCAGTGAAGTGGACAAGGAATTCGTCTACACATATGTTTTTATCAGGGCCAAGTTCAGCAAATCTTAAGGAAAAAAAATTAAGAAGTGCGAGAATTTTGTATAATTTGTCATAGTTGGGATGATCTCTGCGAGGGCATTGGATATTGTCATTGAAATTAAGGAATCGCTTGATCATCTCATAGCTTGATCTGGGTATTACAGCAGAATCAATTGCCATGTGGTGGATTGGGTGTGTAGACCAGTATGCATGCCCTTTATTTTTTTTTTTTTGTGTAAGCCCCATGTTAAGGGTGAGGCCCAAAAATAACTTAAATACCTCCAATGTAAGAGATCTCCATTCAAATGGATGGGCATAGGATGAACTGGGGTTGTTAGTAATGAATTATGTGGAATAAAGGTTTGTCTGGTCCACAATAAACTGAAGTTGTCGGGCAAAAATAAATTTAAAAAATCAATTTCTTAAAAATTCTCAGTGTTGGTCTGCACACCCAGCTGTGCGGTTAAAGGGGGAATGCTTGGTGATTCAGAGTTGGAGGGCAGCCATAATGGGTTGGCAAGATCATCTGGAAGGTATGTTTGGGCCCCGATTCTTGGGGGTTGATGGAATATTCCAGTGCTGGTACTGGGTTTTTCATCTATGGGTCTAGCACCATTGGCATTTGCTGATTGACCGTTGGAGTGTATGGTGCTGCTGATGGCTGCCTGGTTTTCAGAGCGCCGTATCCTTTTTTGGAGGGGCCCTTTCCTCCTCTGATTCAGTCGCTGATCCACTGCTTTCGATGGGTTCATACACTGAATCAGAATCGGACAGTGAGAGCTCCCTGCTGCTCTCATCTGTCATACTTGGAATTTTAAACACCTCTTCACTAGTGTAAATTTTTTTTACATGGCTGGCTCTGGGACAGGTAGACTGCTGATGTTGGCTGTAGGACTGGTATCCTGGTGATGGTGGATGTGTGACGGTACTATACTGATGGTGGCACTGATGGACGATGTGTGACAGGTACACTGCTGAATGACACTGATGGGTGACAGGTACACTGCTGATGGGCACTGATGGGCAACAGGTACACTGATGGGTGACAAGTGCACTACTGAGCACTGATGGGCGACAGGTTCACTGCTGATGGTCACTTATGGGCAACAGGTGCACTGCTGATGGGCACTGATGAGTAACAGGTACACTGATGGGCGACAGGTGCACTGCTGATCGGGCAACAGGTACACTGATGGGCGACAGGTACACTGATGGACGACAGGTGCACTGCTGATGGGCCCTGATGGGTGACAGGTGCACTGATGGGTGACAGGTACATTGATGGGTGACAGGTACACTGCTGATGGGCACTGATGGGCGACAGGTACACTGATGGGTGCACTCATGGGCAACAAGTACACTGATGGGCACTGATGGGCAACAGGTACACTAATGGACAAAAGGTGCACTGAAGGGTGACAGGTACACTGATGGCCATTAGTAACACTGATGGGTACTGTGACAGGGCTGTGATCTGTGTGTGCACTGTAAAGAACTGTAACTCACTGCTAGAAGGTTCCTCTCCTCACACAAGATCTGTGTGTGTGGAGAGGAAGCTGGTAACAGTGAGTTACCGCTCTGTGTTTACATTTGTGACAGGCTGTGATTGGACACAGCCTGTCACGTGGTAAAGAACCGCAGCCAATGGCTCTTTACCTCAATTGATGATGAGCTGTGTCCAAGGAACACCAGTGATTGCCGTGCGGCACGCCCCTGGGGGGCATGCATGCGTGGTTAGAGCGTGAGGACGTCATATGATGTCCTCCCAGAACGAGAGAGCCACCACCCATCCATCATCCGAGCTCCTCCATGCTTCTTATCAGTTTGTTTGCCCTTCTCTGTACTTTCTCCAGTTCCCCAATGTTCTTTTTGTGAATTGGTACCCAAAAGTGAACGGCATATTCCAGATGAGGTCTTACTAATGATTTGTACCGGGGGAAATGAAATCTCTCTCTCTGGAGTCTATACCTCTTCTAATATAAGAGAGGATTTTGCTCGCTTTAGAAACCGCAGCTTGGCATTGCATGCCATTATTAAGCTTGTGATCTACCAGAACTCCCAGATCCTTCTCCACCATTGATTCCCCCAGTTGTACCCCCCCCCTAGTATGTATGATGCATGCATATTCTTAGCCCCCAAGCATATAACCTTACATTTATCAACATTAAACCTCATTTGCCACACAGTTGACCAAAAATCATGACGTAAAGCTCTATCATGCAAAGAAGACGCCGTATCTGAACGTGATCTAGAAACACCACCGTCTTCTCTGGGCCAAAATAAATTTAAAATGGTCTGTTGCAAAGTGAAACACTGTTCTGTGGTCAGACAAATTGAAATTTGTTCTTTTTGGCAATCATGGGCGTTGCATCCTCTGGACTAAAGAGAAGAGGGACCTTCCAGCTTGTTATCAGCACTCAGTTCAATAGCCTGCATTTCAGATGGTATGAGGGTGCATTAGTACATATGGAATGGGCAGCTTGAACATATGGAAGGACATATCCAGGTTTTAGAGCAGCATATGCTCCCATCCATACGTCTTTTTTTTATGGAAAGCCTTCCATATTTCAGCAGGACAATGCAAGACTGCATACTGCCTCTATGACAACAGCATGGCTTCGTAGTAAAAGTGTCTGAGTGTTTAATTGGCTTGCCTGCACCAATTCTAAATATTTAGCACATATTGAAACGAAAAATACGACAAAGAAGACCAAGGACTGTTCAGCAATTAAAATCCCTTAAAAGGCAACAATGGGACAACATTCCTCTCCCAAAACTCCAGCAACTGGTCTTCTCAGTTCCCAGATCTTTACAGAGTGTTGTTAAAAAAAGAGGGGATGCTACGCCGTGGAAAACAGGACCCTGTTCCAACTTTTTTAGAATGAAGTTTGTATTTTGCCAGCTTTTTGTTGCCCTGCCCCAACTTCGTGAGACATGTTGCTGTCATCAATTTCAAAAATATCTTCTTTTTTCTTAAAATGGTAAATTTTCTCAGTTTAAACATTTGATATTGTAACACCCTCTAGATTAGCTAGGTTTGTTGTTTTTGCTAGATAGAGGCAGAATAGCAGCCTGGGATGAGCCGGGCCGGGAGTGCGGCAGGAGTTCACCTCAGGACCGACTGGGAGGTTCTGCAGGTAAGGGCTTCCGGAGCCCTCCCACCCTTCTAGAAACTGGAGAACTTTCTGGAACAGGTGAGGAGAGGAGGGGCAGATCTGCATGTTTGATGGACCTCTGCCAATCCCCTGGCAGGAGGCTGGCCATGGTGACCGGGGCAACCCTCAATTATCACAGAGCCTGGGGAGTAGTAGGGGGGGTTGAGTGGAAGATGGACTGAGAGGAAGGCTGGAGTGTGGAGCCTTGGAGGGGGCCCCAGGGAGGGCTGATTTCTGGAAGGGAGGATCTCTTCTGCCTCAACGTCTCCTGGTGTGGACAACCTATTAGCAGGGA